AAAAAAAAAAAAAAAAAAAAAAAGGAGGCACGTCAATCACATACGAAGGACCAAAATCATCCCCAATCACCTTTAGAACCTGCCAAGGGTCATAGTACAATGGAAGAAGCTTTCGTGATACGCCCTCTTCGTAAAAAAACTTAGACATTTTGACCCAGACATAACTCCCTACTTTGAAGTTCCCTTCTTTGCGCGACTTGTTAGCATGTTTGATCACGGCATGCTGACGCTTGTTCATTGCTGCGATAGCGGCTTTAAGCCGGCATGCATACTTGGCATTGTAGCCAGGCGTATCGGGCGTCAGACAAGGGACCGTTCGGGGAACAAATAGGAGAGAGGATTCGCAGCTGCCAACCATGTTGCAGCTGATTTGGTGTCACGCCAGTTGCAGAGTGAATGAAGTTGTTGTACAACCCCTTCACTTTGTATAACTCCTTGTCTGATCTGGAACAATTAACGGGCAGTAATTGAATGATAGTCTGGTTGATTTCCTCAGCCAATCCATTGGCTTCGGGGTGTCGACCAGAAGTCTTATTGAGTTTAATGTCGTAGATTTGCGAAGTGAAGTCCTTCCAATCAACACTAATGAACCTGGTATCCCGATCACTCACAAGAGTTTTCGGGGGTCCATACTGCAGAATGTACTGCTGGTGAAATTCTTCGATCACAAGCTAAGTTGGTGCATGAGGAGGTAGAGGAAATAAATTCAGAAACTTGGAAAAATGATCCACAATGACCATGACTTGTGAATGTCCTCCCTCACTCACCTTCCCCATCTCCATGAAATCGATAGAGACAAACTCACCAGGCCCATCAGGGATTGGGAGGGGTTTCGACAGGCCATAAGGCCTATGCCTATGGACCTTGGTTCTTTGACATACTTGACATTCAACAATAAATTTCTGAGCAGATCCCTTCATTTCCGACCAATTAAACTGTTGCAAAAGACTTTCATAAGTCTTCTTAAAGCCGAAGTGTCCACTCCGACCATGTGCCAAATCCAAGAAATGAGTCCGGAGACACGCATGGTTGGGTACACACAAACGATAAAACTTCTCATACCGACAGAGTACAAGACCCTCTACTAGGGTCAACCTTAAGTTGTGCAAGGATGGGACTAAGATCCGGATCCTTGGCAGTGTGTTCGACCAGATCCTCCTTCAGTTTCCTTCGGAGGTCATATGAGTCCACAAGGCAAGTCAAAAACTTAGGATGGCGCGACAAAGCATCAGGAACACGGCTATAACAACTTTTCTTGTGTTTCAGTTCAAAATAGTAAACATCAATGCGATGCAACCAGCAGGTCAGCGTCGGAGAGAGATCAGTTTGTGTTTTAATCCACTGCAAGGTCTGATGATCTGAGTAGACCTTGAAGTGACGACCCAAGAGGTAGTGCTTCCAATGTGTGAGCGCTTCGCGCAAGGCATAAAGCTCATGCATATACATGAAGGTAACTTCCTTGTTGGTTGGGCATGCGTTTGCTAAAATACTCATTTATGTTTTTCATAAATAGATGATATATAAATATATGATATAAATATAAATGATATAAATATTATATAATATAAATAAATAGAAATAAATAGATTTTTATATACTGTATTTAGATAATTTAGTTGACCAAGGTGTTTGTATAATAATTTTGACAAGCAATACAAATAAGCTTATATAGGCAAAAACAGAGATTTTACTTTGTTTAGTCAAATATAAACTAAATGTAGATGATTTAGGTAAACTTATTAACATAATGGCAAATAAAATTAATACGTTAATAGCTCCTACATATATAAGAATTTGAGTAACTACTAAAAAGTCTGCATCAAAAAAAATATACAATACAGCTATTAAGCTTAAAACTGAGCGGATGCAGGTCATCGCGATCATCTTGTTGCAGCACTGCACCAATCCCATACTGGCTCGCGTCCGTAGTAACTACAAACGTGAGGTTGGGATCAGCAATGCGGAGCACAAGATGACTTACCAAAGCCTCTTTCAAGGCTTGGAACGCAGTCCCGCATTTCTCACACCACGCATAGGCAACATTTTTGCTTGTTAGTCTCGAGAGTGAGTGAGCAATGACAAAAAATTTGGGTACAAACTTCCGGTAATACGAAGTCAAACCGAGGAAAGAACGCAATTCGTGCACATTCGCCAGTTGAGGCCACTTTCGTATGACCTCAACCTTGGTTGCCTCCGACTCAAGGCCTTTTGCAGACAACCGGTGCCCGAGATAGATGACGTTGTCCCTTCCAAACTTAGATTTCTCTAAGTTGAGGTGCAGTTGTGCCTCCTTGAGGACCTGCAAAACCTCCTCAAGGTGTTGGACGTGCTCTTCCATGGACTTGCTGAAAATCAGGATGTCGTTAAAGGTAAATAATAACAAACCTGTTGAGTTCATGGCAGAGAACCTTGTCCATGAGACACTGAAATGTGGCTGGTGCATTCGTAAGACTGAAGGGCATAACGATGAATTCGTACAGCCCATCGCGTGTTTTGAATGCAGATTTGTGTTGGTCACTCGGATCAACTTCAACTTGGTGGTAACCAGACTTGAGGTCGATCTTGGAGAAGATCTTGCACCCATCTGCAACATCTAGCAGATCATCGATGCGCGGTAAGGGATAAACGTTCTTTCGGGTGATACGATTGAGGCCACGATAGTGAATACACATCCGGAGTTCGCCTCCTTTCTTCGGCACAAACAGGATAGGTGCACCGAACTCAAACTCACTAGGCCTAATCCATCCACGATCAATCATATCATCAATTTGTCTCCTCAACTCCTCCAACTCGCCTTGTCTCACACGGTAGACGCAGCCCTTTGGAGGAACACTCCCTTCTATTATTTCGAACTTGTGTTTGACCGGACGCTCGAGAACTCCACGGGGTTCAGCCACAACTTCAGGAAATCGATCCAATAAACAGCGAATGTTTGTTAGGACTTCCGGTGGAGGATCATCCTCATCAGGAGAGAGAAAATCAGATTGAGAATTTACAGCAATTACAACCAAATTCGAAGTACTTGGATCAGAAGTGGAACTGATTTTTTACAGTAAAAGTAGATTAAACAGACGTAGAGGTAGCAGAGGTAGAATTACTTTCTGAGGTAGAAAATGCAGCAAAAGTAGAAGGCACATGGAGAGGTTTTACAAGGGCTACATGCACATGCTCAGCTCCCTTGCGCCTTCGCACTGATTTGCAGAATTTGTTTGCACTCAATAGAGTCACAAGAGACTCGCGTGTCCCGTCTAATAGAACGGTACGCACGTCTCCCTTGGCATCACGCACCACGAACTGAGTATCCGCCCACGTGGTCCTTAGACAATGAGCCTTCAACCAGCCCAAGCCAATGACCGCGTCGAAAGGACACTTGTCCACGATGTAAAAGTTCAACTCATGGGTGACTGTGCGATCCTTGTCAAAGGTGACACGCACACCTTTGACAACATGTGTCGAGGTGACAACCTCTTGGTTGCCTACCTGGGTCTGACAAGGGTTGTGCAATTCCACTTGCTTCATTCCCAGACCCGCCTTACGAATCCCGTTAGGAGAAAAAAAGTTAGTCGTTGAGCCACTATCAATCAGCACGCGGATGTATCGGCGGTTAATGAGCAACTTAAAGAAGGTCAGTTCCACACTCCCTTGAACATGGCGTTGCTGCTTGAGCTGCAGCCAGTGTTCCATAAGAGTGGAAGTCAAGTTCCTTAGTCTCCTCCCAAGGCTCAGTGTAAAGTACTTTGACTGCAACAGCCTTGGATTCAGCATCAGTTCGGGCTTCAAGAGCAGGTTGTTGATCAGATTCAGGCTCCTTGGAGGGGCCTGCAACTGACTGTTCAGCTTCCCTTGTTGTAGAGAGTGTTGACGACTCTTCTACGCCCTTTGCCTGTTTCCCTGCAGACGATAACATTCCTGCACAGCATGCCCAAAATTCTAACAATGCAAGCACACTCGCAATTTGGATCTTCTCTCTCATTCCTTTTGGCTAATGCGGAGGGCTTCCCAAGGCTTGGTGGAAGCATCCTCCGATTTCTCAGGGATCTTTGCATTCTTGGGGAGGTGTGCTATAGGCCCTTTACCCGAACCACGGTTAGACCCCTTGCTTGAAGCAGTCTTTTTAAAGGCATTGCATTTTTTCTTCAGCATTTATGTCAGACTCAAGGGCTGATGTAGAACAGTCCACGTCGGAGTCCGGCTCTAGGTTGTCATCTAGACAAAGATCATCCGCATACGACTGCTCCTCAGCCTCCCGATGTTCATGCAGGGCAAACTGATAGCTGCTTCCGTACCGCTTGCGTTGCGAGGTTCGACCTGCAGCGGGTGCCTTTGCACGCTTGGCGACGTCCTTGGCTTCTAGATTGACTAGATCCGTCAGTAGCTCTCGCCAAGTCGTATGGTCTTTGAGTCCTAGCCGGGAGACATATCCTTCAGGGGCCACTCCCATAACTACATCCATGCAAGACACGTCAGTCCATCCAAGGTTTGGAGTGGTGAACAGACCAGTCAGGTGCTGCTCCAAAGCCTGCATGGAAGTCCTCCACTTTTGGCCCTTGAGGGCCTCAAGCTTTAGCCTTGCCTTGAGTGCAACTTGCTTATCTTGATACTGCGTGATGAGGAGGTCCTCAAGAGTACGTACAGGAGTCACTTTCAACCACTCAGTCAGATCAATTCTCTCATAACCTGCAGTAACATCTTGGATTTCTATGAAACTCCGTACGGCGGGCTCAGTATTCGTGCCCATGATCATGCTTTGGTCTTCCGGCGGTGTTCGCAGTACCTCGAAGTATGAGCGCATGAAGCTAATCCAAGAGGTGATGTCCCCCTTCCCGTCGTACTTGGACGGCAGAGTGACCGCCCTCTTGTCCACTACGGGACCGCTGTATTGTACGCCAATAACAACTGCGGCGTTTTGGGTTGATGTTCCCGCATTTGGGACTGGGACCAGTGCAGAACTGTCGGCGTTGCTGCTTGAGGAGCTGGCAACAGTTCCTGCACTCGTCACAGTTCCGCTTGCTCTTTGCATGAGGACTGTGTTAGGGTGAGAAACTAGGACTACAGCAGGACGAGGATTAGGAGGACGGGGGGCAGACAGTTGGGATTGTTTGAGGCTGACTATCTCAGCCTGCAACTCTTGGTTCCGTTGCTCTAGAACTGTCATACGGGACTCTATAAATTCCAAGGTTCGCAGTCGAACCAAGGCTACTACGACAACAACTAACTTATCCTGGAACCGGTCATCATTCAATTCCGGAACCTCGAGGAGGGCTACTTGTGTAGCAATACTTGTGGCTTTAGCTGCTGCCTCTGCCTCCCTCTCTCTATGCATTACGTCCTCATAAAGTTTCTGAAAGAAAGGTTTCTCGTTCTCGGTCGCTGCGTCCAGCATGACCTTCCATTGCTCTCATCTGATGTCTACCATGCTGGAGGATAGGGCGTCAGTAGATCTCTCAAGAGGGGTCTGCACTTTGCTCACTTTTGGACGAACAGTCCTCTTACCCTTCCTCACACTCTCAAAAATAATACCTCTCTCCCTTCTCTCTTTTTTCGCTTTCTGCGCATGCGTCTTAATACCGGACATAGATAGTTCAGATAAAAGAAAAAAAACAGTAAATCACAAATAGTAGAAGGTAGAATTCCTAGCCGGAGCGGCAATTCATTTGGACTTAGAGAAGGCATTCACGCAGCAGAATAAAGATAAATAATTAAATTTAAAAAAAGGAAAGACAGGAGCGGCTTATCGAACGGGCCCGATCAGATTAGCTGGAGATCCCCTCTTGTCTAATCAGACAAGAAGCATGTACCACAATAGGTCAGCCGAAGAAAACTAACTGCAGCAATGGGGATTTCGAGGGGTGCAGACGGTTGCCGAGCCAGGTGCGGGGCAGTATGTGAGAACATGCAGTAAGACTAGTCAAGATCCCCTTGAAAGGAATGCCTTTACTAGTCGTATGTCCCCCAAATTCAGCACAGCAAAGAGATGCATTGACGACAACAAATTTGGGCCCTAAAGGTCATGTCCCATTGGGCCTGGTCCCACTGAGTTCCGAAGGTCCCAAGTAGGTCGTGGACCAAGACCAACGAGATAGGTGCACCAAGTCAGTCCCAAACTGCCTCTACCATACTGAAAAGGAAAAGACAACTTTCAACAAGAACTCACCCCTACAACCGTTCATAAATGAAAAGACAATGCACTGTAGAAAGATATGTCATTGAGAACAAGATACATCATTCATCCATCCGTCAGGTGAGAAAGCAATCCACATGCTCACACACACAACCAAGACCGCAGAGAAGAGGAAGAGAGCCCAACACACCCCAACAGGCCATGAAGCACCAAGCAACCTCCCACGAGCATAACCAGGTCACACGACACTTACCTGTGAGGCTCGGCCTCCAAAGATGGATAACGACTCACCCCCCTCTCTCATAAGTCCTCCTGACCCCTAGCTACCACTACACAAATCCTAGCATGACTAAGAGGGCCTCCCTACACCCCTGTTACAATGTCGGATCCCCCGTCGATGTCTGAAGACCAAAGTAGCAACTTGCATCTCTTCGATGCAGATATGGCAGCCTTCGATCAAGTCTCCCTCTTGAGGGGAAGCCCAAAAGTCACTCAACGTCTTCTTGAAGTACACATTCCAGGTGCGAGTACCTCTCACTCTCTACTCCCTCTCGCTTACTCCAATCAGCCTCCTTTGTGTCTCGCCACCCCATCCAATCACACAAGCAACCTGGTCAGGTCTAATGTCGACCCTACATGATCTAACCAGGTGGGGGCAGTATCCGCATACCTCACTGCCCCTCTTAACCCTAACTTCCCAACCCTAATCCGAGATTAGGTTAGCCCTAACCTAATTCGGAATTAGGTTTAGGGTGACCAACACCTCTCGCTAGCAAGTAAGTCCGCCCCGATACCAATTGTTACGATCCTGGTCATTCCCAAAGTGCAAATTCCCAATGAAAGACAATGCCACCCAATTGCGAAAGAAATGAACGCACTTGCAAAGAGATAGAGACCAGAGAAGAGAGAAAGAAGAAGAAGAAGAAGAAGAAGAAGAAGAAGAAGAAGTAGATGTACACCAGCAAGGCCAATGACAAATCCCCCTTCTCTCTCCACCTTCCTCCTCCTCCTTAACTTCCCCAATCTTAATCTTCTTCCTAATAATAATAATAACAATGAGTGGATAACCAAAATCAATATCCGAAGGTCCCTCTTACCGCTGACACAACAACAACCACAACAGGTCCACCATAGCTATGGCTTCCCCCCTTCTTCCACTTCTCACAAGCCTAGGCTATGGCGGACAACTGAGGGCTTTGCCCCTCTCTGTGCACAGGACAACACAAGCAGCTATGGCGCTGCACTCCTGTCCAAAGGACAACCCAAAGCAGCTATGTCGTTGCTAACTAAGCCGCCATGCCTGACTCTGCCTCGAGCTTCCTTGGTGCGGCACTACCCCAACTGGGGCCTTCCAGATGCAGCGCCCAACGAGGTGATGAAGATGGTGTTCACCATAGCCAGGTAGGTGCCTCGCCACTCTCCTCCTTCGCCCCCTTCTTCCTCCTCCTCAGGCTGGGCTGCTCGCCATAGCCAGGCTAAGCGCCCAACTGCCCTTCACCTCCAGGCAGCGCTATACCAATCCAGCGCTTGGCTCAGCAGCATGTCGCCAATTCTTGCATACCGCAAATGAGGAGGAGCTACTTGCTCCTCCGGAAGATATAGCGGCCTACTGGCCTCTTGGGCGGTGACTTCCTAGGCCGAGCGACCTCCCAGCAACCGGTACCTCCTCCCTTTCGGAGGGAAACATCATTGCAGGCTTTGCTATCGTCCGGACAGGCCCTAGACCCGGGCTACTAGGACTGGTACCGGCCTACCTCTAACCTACCGCTACTGGGCCTCTGAAAATGCCAACTTTTTGTCTTCTTCTGCTCGGCCTCCAGTACCCGACGCTTCTACCACTACTTGAGTGGTACCGGCCTACCTGCTACTTGAGTGTTTTTTCCTCGCTGCTCTAAGTGTCGTGGACCTACCCCTGCTACTTGAGTGTTTTCCCCGCTAACAACAGTCGTATTTTTCATCACAACTTCAGGACACCCTTCACCACTTCAGGATGTAACCTGCCTAAACAGGTGTTTTTCAGGGTCTTTGGACCTTTCACCAATTCAGGACCATTCAGGTCCGAAAATCTTGAATGATCCTGAAATGGTGAAAGCTCTAAAGACCCTGAAAACCAACTGTTTAGGCAGGCTGCATCCTCAAGTGGTGAAGGGTGGTTTTCAGGGTCTTCGGACTTTTCACCACTTCAGGACCATTCAGGATTTTCAGACTGCCCATAACTCTCACTTCAGAATTTTCATTCCTGAATTTCCAGCTACCCGATAACCGCTTGTGCAAAGTCATGGCCACAGGTAAGTACCGGCCCTGCGGGGCCTTTCAACCAACAAGTAACCTTGTGGGTCACATACACACTCAACCGACAAACACTCAGACAGGCATGCAAACCAGCAGGCACGCACACACACACACACATGGAAACCACAGCAGAATGCGGGAATCTCAGCAAGGCATTCATTCCAGCGGCAAATCCCAGAAATCAGCAGTGTTCTCAGTATGTGTTTTTGGCGGGTCATTACACACAGTAGAAACCAGCCTGAAGTGTTAAGAGAAAACCAAGTTCCAAAGCCCCGTGTGAGCCCAGATGGTAATGACCGAGGCTGTACCGAAGGACAGAAAGAAACTAAAACGGGGGATTCAGGGAATTTCAATAGCCATAGAGCAAAACAGACCCAAAGCAAGGAATAGATCAGATGAAGGAAAAAATTGTCATCCATGCATCCCAGACCCCACCCCTGCTGTTGGAAAAACCCTTTAAAGCCCTAAGGAAATAATGTTTGGGAAAACCTTTGAGTTAGAGCTCCCGTCTCAAAAGGAACAAGCTATATGCCATTGTTTTTTTGAAGGACAAAGTTATTTCACTTTCTTCCAATATTTCCGTAATCATGTTATTAATTTTCATCTCATCTTCTGACTCACTCTTGTTCATTCTTCCAAGATGAGGGGTTTTGTTCCTGCTCATCAAGAATCTCGTTTAAAGTTTGTTCAGCCTTCCTTCTTTGATTTTTTTCAATCATCTAAGGTGTCATATTAGCCTGAAGATTCCTTACTTCACTGATTACAATATCAGGTTCTATGACAACTTTGGACGGTAAAATGCCCTCAAAAGTCATCCTGTGAACCTAACAAGTAGGCCTACTAGAAGAAAACTTCACTAGCTCGGAAGAACTTTGGGATGTTGGCTCTCCTTCTAGTAGATGACTACTTGAGGAATTTTCATCGAATTTTTTTTCCTTCAACATGGAATAACAAGTTTTTATACAAGTTCTTGAGAGAGTTCATCAACGAGAAAACAAACATTCACACTACGTAGCACCGTGTTCACGTTCGGAGGCGAACGTGAACATGCGTCGAAACCATCCGAACACGAACATAAAAAAAATAAAAATAAATAAAGTTCTCGAAAAATTCGAAAGAAAAATATACGTGATGTAAAATAACAATACACGCAACTTTTGTCTTGGAGTCATGTTCAGATTTGTCGCCAGTCATGAGTTAAAAATCAAACACCAAATTTTTTATTTTTATTTTTTATTTTTTTTTACGAAAAAAAATTATGTTCGCCCGAACATGATCGCGAGCTGTTCACGCGAACGCACGAACACGTTCGCTCGAACGTGAAGGGGCGCGAACACATTCACCGTGCTATGCAGCATTCACATTATTATTATTATTATTATTATTATTTAGTTTTTTTTTTTTTTCTTCTTCGTCGTCGTCTTCTTTTTCTCTCATGTTTAAGGGCAAACAACCTTATACCTGCAGGAGGTCTGGGAACCAGTTTTTTCAAAGAGTTGTCACAAACATGACCCATAACATCATTTTTCACAACCCCATTCGTTACATCCTCTTCCAACAATTTGCAGTAGGTAGTAGTATCACCTTCGTCACCATAATGATAAAAAAAAATTATGGTCAGGTCATCATATTTACTTCTTGTTTTGCCTTCTCCATATTACCTCAATTTCTTCTAGCTCTGAACTTGTTTTCTTTCTTTACTTCATCATCATCATTTTTATCATCCCAACTTTTTTTTTTTTTTCCTTTTTTTCATAAAAGTTATGGTCCTTATGGACAATATAGATATAATTCGCTATGACCTGTCGAATGGTGTTCTTTGTGCTCACATTACTCTTTCTTTTCATACAATTTTTTGTTTCTCAGTCCTTAGCTACAGTATTGATCTGATTCAGTGACAATTTTGTTTTGGAAATTGTAGGCAGAGACTTGACTATTGCCATCATCTCGTCCCATGTGAGATGGTAATGTTGAGCCTTGTTTAATAACGTTTGTGAAAAAGTTATGACACCTCTGAGCAGTTAGAATGATTGGAGAAGATATTAAATGTATCATATTTAACTTTTTCGGTGGTACGAAGTTCCCTAGTAATCGTAGAAACGAAAATTTTCTCAAACGCTCTTCTCATTC